ATATATATATATATATATATATATATATATATGAATGTATACCGTTAGTTAAAAATCTATTTAGGTGTGAAATACAGGCTCGATCAAATTCGATCTATTCGAGTGTCAACGGAATCTTCGGAGAATGTCGACGGCAACTCTAATAAGCTACAAGTTCGATTGTTCTGTTTATATGCAAATCGCTAACCGACATATTCAATGATTATGGAAGAAAAAAATAGGCTGTAGCGCAATAATCTAGTACAAAGTACAAGCACATGTGTACGACAGTACGTATCTCGAAGGACACAACTCTGCCGATCAAGTTTCACGACACCGTTTACATTTATATACACTAATCTAACGTGAATACGAAAGTGTACAACGAAGCGATCGTACGTAGCAGGCAACTTTTGCTGAGCTATTTCTCTTTCATTGAGACGGGTGCATTTGATGCGAGGGAGAACTTTTGCAATTCATGTGTACCCTTTCACAAGAGAACACGAGGGCCATTGTACAGAAGACAAATGAATAAATATTCGAGCGACACCGCTACTCTTCGTCCTCGATGTAATTTGTCGCGTGTATCTTTTAATGCGACAGTATCTTAGAAACGATCAAAGATATCGATCAAGATTGCTCTTTATTGCTGATCGCTTCGGTGTCTCACGAGCAAGTCGGCAAATAGACAGATAACCGAGCCTATATCTCGATCTAGAAGCGTTGAGGAGTGTGTCAGTAAACGAGTTAGTTAATCCGCACTAGAAGCTGCATACCTGTGAAAGAGAGATCGTATTTTCTTTCTTTAATGTTTACAAAAGTCGCGCGAGGGCGAGTCAAGTTTTTCGTGACGATGCGTTGGATGCTACGTCAATGTTATACTATTAGGTAATACATGTATATGGGGTATCGTCTTGCTGATGATTTGTACAATGATTAATGACGAGTCATTGTCGATCGCGCCTCTGCGGTGGTTGCGCGCGTCACGGTGGTTCTGCGATCGGTACGTACACAATGGCACCGGGCGTGTTGCCCGAATGCACCAGTGATATTGCGTATGTGTTGAGGTAAAAAAAAGCCGTGAAAGATATCAGCCATTCTTGCCCCGCTGTAAAGAGAAGCGTAACTAACAATTCATTCTCCCGATCAGCCGACTGTGCTTCTCCAAAGGTATGCGACGACCGTTGTCGTCGAGTTACGGGATCGCGAAGAGTTCGACACCTCATGAGACACGGGAGGTGAGAACGGAAACTAACAAGACAAATAAGACAAGAAGAAGAAAAATGATCCAATAGCAAGAAAAACGTGTTTCATAGACACAAAACGGACGAAAATTGTTTGTTTATTTTCCATAGGAGAGACGTATTAAATCTCGAGAAAATAGACGAAGTATTTTAGAAATGTTTACGGTACGTAAATTCTGGTACCAATTCCCGTAAGAGATGATCTCGTTGTATCTCTCTCAAAAGTCAGATCTCGGTATTGACGCACGCGGATTGCGAATTCCTACGCGCGAGATGTTGCCGGCGACGTCTAGGCGAACATGCGCGCACCTTCAGGTTCGCGTAAGCACGGACAGGCTGATCGAGCGAGGCTACGGTGCTCGTCTGATAATAGTACGGCAGAGGTACGAAATGGTGGGCACTCTCTTCCACGTGGAGTTAGATGCTAGCATATTGTAAGTCAACGTAGTACAAGTAATAGTAGTTGTATAATAGTAGTAAGTAGTAATAATATAAATTGTAACATAGTATAGTAAGTGGTGAGTAATAGAAACAGGCCTATGAAAGCTCAATCGGACACAAGAGTTATCTTTCGTAAGCACATGATAACAAGAAAGCCGCAAGCGCTTGGTAAATTGTAAAGGGGTGCAAGCTCGCCGCCCGATCGGTTAAAGGAAACCAAGGAAGCAGGGTGCTGCTCCCTCCTGTTTTACCTTCGGTGAGATTATCGACTGTCGCTGGTCGTCGCTCGAGGGTGACGTGTTCGCTCCCTCGGCCCGCTACTAAAATAGTTTACTGAGGTTTGACACTGGATTGACAGTTTGTGAGAAGGAGAGTGGGGATCGCCGTCAGGCTAACCAAGGCGATACGTAATGCTCAAAA